AAAAAAAAAAAGAAAGGTTATCAGTTTGAATACATCAGCCTCTATAGGAGAAAGACAGTCTTTCAAAAACATTTACAGCCTCAAAAACTAAATAGAGGATTGTTGGGTTGCTGTCTACCTTGCTTCATTTGATCCTCAGTAACAACAAAGAAAGTAACTTGCCTAAGATCATGTAGATAATAGGGGCCTAAAGTAAAATGTGAGCCCAGCCATTTGCTATATCAATGGAAAAATGCCTTTTCTTAGACTTCTCTGTTTTGCAGACTCGAAGACGTGCTGTGGAAGGTTTCATGACTGAAAACAAAGAAGCAGGGATTATATTTGGTTCTCTACCTATATATAGGGTGAGTTGGAAATTTCTATGACAAGAGTGGTAACAGAACAAACAGCAGGGAATCTGGCGTCCTATTATTCCTGGTCTTGCACTCTCCAGCAAGATAAAGTCTTGAGACCAAGTAGATCAAGGATTTTGTAAATACATCAAAGTCTCAAAGCCTTCGTGGCAATAACTTTGATCACATATCTTTACCTTCCCTATGGTAGCTATTTCTAACTTTGCCTGGAACTTCCTCTCCTATGGGATGAACTCCGGGTGTGTTAGGCTGGCATTGTTGTTGTTTTGTTGTTTGGTGCCGCCGAGTCGTAGATGACTCATAGTGACCTGACTAACCAAAGGCCTGAGCACTGTTTGTACATAGAGTTTCTGGAGGCAAGCCATTTCGGAAGTGGATGCCGCTCCTGCTTCCAGGCTTGTTTTAGTCGGGAAGCTCCAGCCAACACTGTCCACCATGGGTACCCATTACCATGATTGGCACATCACTGTCACAGTCTTCAGCATCACAGCAACCACGAGTTACCTCTTCGGCTTGGTAGCATAACTTCCTTTCCACTAGGTCAACGTAGCTCTCTCTTTGTCGTTGTCGTTGTTATTGTTGTTTGGTGCCGTCGAGTCATAGACGACTCATAGCGACCCTATGAACGAACAGTCTGAGCAGTGTTCGTACATAGAGTTTCCGGAGGCAAGCCTTTTCGGAAGTGGATGCCGCTCCTGCTTCCAGGCTTGTTTTAGTCGGGAAGCTCCAGGCTGGCATTAGGCTGGCATAAAACCTTTTATGATTTTACTTACGCCTAAATTTTATGACCTCATTTCCCACCATTCTCCCTCCACACGCTGTATTCCAGCCACATCAATTTGCCCCTCCTTGGGCCTCCTAGTTGTCTCTCACCCCTGTGGGATTGCCCACGTTGCCCCTCTGCCCCAAATTCCCCCACTCCTTGTCGAGTCTTTACTCCAAGCATCCTTTGTTGAATGAAAGAAATAACCAATTTGAGAAAGAAATCATGTGCTCGCTTCGGCAGCACATATACTAAAATTGGAACGATACAGAGAAGATTAGCATGGCCCCTGCGCAAGGATGACACGCAAATTCGTGAGAAAGAAATCATAAACCAGTATAGACAAAATTTCAACTTAACCCTTACTTTTTATATTTTGAAATATTTCTTCTTCTCAAAGCTTTCAAAATATTAGTTATGATAGGTATCAAACAGATGTCTATTAAGTCAACAGATGGAAGGAGTGCCAGGAGTGAATTACTGAGGATCACTAGTGGACAAATGTGCAGGTGTAAGGGTATATTTTGAAAGAAGTCAGTCTTCGAAAAGCCATGTACACATAAAATCACACCGGAGAAGTATGCATGTTAAATATGTCTGACAGACTCTTTATTTATGGTTCCAGGTGCCAAGCCCCACTAGTTTAAGATTCCTGCCACTCATTGGCTCAGAAGCACAGAGAGACTCTTTAGATATCCTTCTAGGAAAGAAGAAGGGAGGTCATGTTCAACATGAAAAAGTAAGTTAGAACTTCGAATTGTAGAGTAAAACACTCTGTTTGGTTATCTAATTGTTACTTTATTCTCAAGCACACTGTATTGTTAAGTGCTGTTAAGCTGAAACTTCAGCTCATAGCTGACCTTCCAGCAGGCTTTCAGAGGCTGTCAATCATATAGGAAGAGAGCACAGATCTTTCCCACACAGAGCAGCTGGTAGATTTGAACTATTAGATTTGTCCGTGCAACTCCTTACCACTAAGCCACCAGAGTTCCTGTCAAACACAGCATAGCCCATGTTATCTATACTCTTTTTTACAAATATCACAGGATATATGTGTTTTAGTTTAGTGAAATGGAAATCGTGAGTTGTCTGGACAGAGAGACAAAGAAAAAAAATGAGCCAGAACCAATGAAGCTTTCTGTAAGACTCAAGTTCTTTTACTTGCTTTCACAATTAGGCAATTTTACATTCTAAGACTGAGAGCTGGGTAACTCATCCTCACTTCTTTGTCATACTGTACCTACAGGAAGGAATTATGACACGACTGAATGTCTGCTCACCAACAAAATCAAAGATCATTTCTTCCATGTAAAATAGTATGCAATAACTGACGTCCAAACTGCAACTTACAAAGTGCTTTTATAAATGACTCATTTGATTTTCACAATAATTACAAAGAAAATGTTATATTCATTTTTGTTGTTGTTATTGTTGATTGCCATTGAGTCAAGCACAACTCATAGTGACCCTGTGAACAAAAGGCCTGAAGCCTTTCTATAACTATCACTGTTTCTCAAAATTCATAGTTTCCAGAAGACATGTTGTTTAGGAAGTGGATGAGCTGAAAGCCACAGGTCACATATAAAATAAGTGATAAACTAAGATCGATTTCTAACTCAAAATGTTAATGCTCATTCTAATAAAACCATAACTGTTTCAAGAAACTTGAGCCCATGACTCTTCCACTAGCTCTGGGGAGCTCTGGTGGCCTACTCATGAGAAGCTGTGCAGCAATTCCATAGGTACTTGATTTCAATCCACCAGCTGCTTCATGGGAGAAAAATGGGTGGCAATCTCCTCTTGTTTGATTTACTTACTCTGAAACCCCATTGAGGTACTGAGATCTAACGTTGTTGTTGTTGTTAAGTGCCGTTGAGTCACAAGCGACTCACAGCGATCCTATGAAGGAGAGTCCTTGAGGCTTGGGTGCCTTTCATCCTCTCTTCAGGTTCATAGGGTTTCTAGAGGCAAGCTATTATGGAAGTGGATGCCACTCCTCCTTCCAAGACCCAGCATTGGGTCAGTTCAAATGGGAGGCACAGAAGAACAATAAACAAATTCTAGGAAGCCCACACAGGCTGAGCCTGGGGACATTTATCCATCAATTAGACATTAATTAGACATTTAGGAGGCGCTCTGAGCTGTCTTTCCATGAAGTCAGCCAAAAAGAAAACAAAATCCAACCAAAAACTTTAGAACAAAATGGTGCATATTGCCTATTGCTGACTTAATTATGGTACCAAACAGGCACAACCACCACCACAATAACAAAAAACCCTGTCTTTATTAATTAGAAAAGTTTCACTTAGTTTTTTTTCCCCAGCAGCAGCGGCAAAGTTTAATAAAGTAGCAAACAATAAATGTTAGAGAGGATGTGGAGAGATAGGAACTCTCATATTCTATTGGTGAGATATTTAAATGGTACAACAACTCTGGAAGGCAGTTTGGCATTGCTTTAAAAAGTTAAACATAGAAAATTACAGTTATTCCACTACTAGGAATATACCCTATGAAAACACAGACACAAACAGCAGTTTGTACATCAATGTTCATAACAGTATTATTCACCATCACTAGAACATGGACACATCCCAAATGTCCAGCCACAATTGAATGGATTGAGAAATCGTGATACATTCACAGGATGGAACACTACACAGCACTGAGGAGCAACAATTTCAATAATTACTACATAACTTAGTTTTATTAGCTCTTGTGCAATTACTAGGAATACAGATGAATCTAGAGGATGTTTTACTAAGTGACTTAAGTCAATGTCACAAGGAAAAACACTAGATAAGACCACTATTATAAAAAGCTAAAGAAAGATTTATTCCAGAAAAAAAAATCACTGCAGATCATTACCCTGGATTAGAAAGGTTGGAGAATGAAATAAAAATTAGTAAATAAGTAGACAAAAGTCAAAGGCATTGCTTGAGAGCCAGAACCCCCTCATAGCCCACCAGTCAGTGGCTTCTCTGAGGCTCCAAGTTGCACAGGAGGAGACTGCCCAGCTTTCTCCTAGCTAAGTGGCACAGCTCTGTCCAGACCCACGTTAAGATGAACATAGGGAAATGTAATATACAATACGGTTGGGCAGGCACTGCAATGAATTCATTATCAATCAATTGTCATTCATGTTAAAAAACATGTCTGAACAATCAAATGAAATTGCAATTACAGTGTTATAAAACAAAATGCATATAAGTGAGTGAATGGAAAAACAATTATGATTTGTTAATTTTCACTCAAATAATAAAAAAGAAAATAAAGGAAAGACATGGAGCAGAGGGTATAGAAAGATTAGTGAATTCTGAATTATATAGGAAATGAGGGAAGAACAGTTCCCTAGTGGGTATTAAAATTAATATTGTAAGACAAGATGTGTTTCAATGACTGAGTGAGAATTTAATTTGCTTTGTCAAATCACAATAAAAAATTAAAATAGGTTATTATTTCACATATGTAGCAATAAAAGAAAGGGGGAAATGCTGCTTGATTTGGGAAAATTGTATTTACATTTCTACTTATTAGCAGACCTTTTCCTTCATTTTACAGACACAAGGGAGGAGGAGAAGTCTGAAAAGAAATTTGGTCCCACATGTAAATCTGGCTGCTTCCTTCTTCCCGTCCATTCCTTAGTGAGGAGAGAGAAACTGCTGCTGTGGTCTGGCCGTCATATGGATTATTGAGGGTGGTCCCTAGGGCTTTATTTTGGATGACCATGAGTTTCCAGCATACACTGTCAACCCTCCCTGTGTCTTCACTCCATCCCACTGAAGAAGAAAATTGCTCAGGGAACACTGGGGCCATGACCTCTAACACCAAGCAAGCACCAAGCAGATTGCCAACTTCTTTTCCTGAAGTCCACTTTATGAATAAAAGTACCCTTTCTTGTTTGCTGTCAGCAAGATGACATACACAGATGAAGGCAGTAGCCTAAAAGGTTTAAATGAGTTCTCACTGATTATTAGCTTTTCACCTTTTTACCCTTTGTTTACTCTATTCTGAAGACTTAACAGAAAACATCCAGTAAGACATAAATTACTGTGTCATGCTATTTAAAAAAAAAGAGTGAGTCAGCTGGGTCTCAACCTACTTGTTTTTCTTCATTTGAGGGTATTTTATATGGAGACATATGTTGTTTTTATAGAAAGTAATTTTATAGGCATGGAAAAAAACCCTATTTTGAGAAGTGTCGATATGTGAAAATGAACGTGGTACTACTTCCCGCCAGCCAGAGTCAATATGAGAAACCCTAATGGTTTTGCCATTCAAGAGGGGAGGTGGGTTGGATACCCCTTAGAACTAGAAGGAATTGCAGGGATTCAAGACATGGCAGGGGATGCCATTAATGTTGAGAATCATCAGTAAAAAAAGAAGTAGCACTAAAGACATTTTCCCTCTTTTTTTCTTTTTCTTCTTAATTTTATTTTTTTATTATTAATTTTAATGCAAGTTTACAGAGACTTTGGTTTTCCATTCATTCCTTGTTGCACTTTTCTCCCTGCCCACCCCTCCCTCCAGGCATCTGCCTTCTAATCAAATCTATAGTTCTGTGTTTGTCATCTTCTGTGTTGAAAGATGTTACTGCTGTTTTGGTTGTAATATTTCTTCCCAACTATTGCCAACATCGATTTTCCACTCTAAGCCTCCTAATTAAAAAAGTGTTGGTTCTTCCCTAGTTAGCGGCTGCTGCCTTTGTTTTTTTTCCTTTTCTTTTTTTAGGATTCACGTGGATCTGACACTTGTTACTTAATCTTCCTGTATATCCCAAGATGGATGTCAGACAAGACTCTGAGTATTGCATTAGAGTGTCAAGAAGCTAAAGCTAAAGGAAGAAACCAAGAAACCAAAGAGCTGAACAGAAAATTTCAAAAGGCAGCTTGGGACGTCAAAGCAAGATACTATAATGAAATGTGCAGAGAGCTGGAGTCAGAAAATCAAAAGGGCCGGACTCGCTCATCATTTCTTAAGCTGAAGGGGTAGAAAAATAAATTCAAGCCATGGGTGGCAATACTTAAGGATACTTTGGGTAGAATGCTAAATGACCCAGGAAGTATTAAAAGAAGATGGAAGGAGTACACAGAGTCACTGTATCAGAAGGAATTGGCTGACACAGAAGAATTTGATGAAATAACATATGAACAAGAGCCTATGGTGATGAAGGAGAAAGTTCAAGTTGCTCTGAAGGAATTGGCAAAAAAGAAGGCTCAAGGACTTGACCAGCATACCAATTGATTTATTTCAACAAACAGACGCTGCCCTGGATGTGCTCACTAAGTTGTGTCAGGAAATCTGGGGTACAGCCAGCTGGTTGACTGACTGGAAAAGATCGACATTTGTTCGCATTCCAAAGGTGACCCAACAGAGTGCGGAAATTATCTAACAATATCATTAATATCACAAGCAAGCAAGATTCTGCTGAAAATACCCAAAAACATTTGGAATATTGTGAACAAAGGACTGCCAGATGTGCAGGCTGGATTTAGAAGAGGTCATGGTACTGGGGATATTATAGCTAATGTTAGATGGATCTCGACAGAAAGCAGAGAATACCAGAAGAATGTCTATCTGTGCTTCATTGACTATGCAAAGTCTTTTGACTGTGTGGACCATACCAAGCTATGGCTGACTCTGAGAAGAATGGGAATCCCAGAACATTTGATTGTGCTAATGCGAAACCTAAAATTGGACCAAGAGCCAGTCGTCAGAACACAGCAAGGAGACACTACATGGTTCAAAATCAAGAAGGGACCTCGTCAGAGATGTATTTTGTCTCCATACCTTTTCAATCTGTATGCAGAACAGATCATCCAAGACACTGGGCTGTATGAGGAGGAGTGTGACATCAGGATTGGTGGAAGAGTCATCAACAACCTGCATTATGCAAATGACACAACCCTAGTTGCTGAAACTGAGGAGGACCTAAAGTGCTTGCTGCAGAAGGTCAAGGACTGCAGCCTTCAATATGGATTGAAACACATCATCAAGAAAACAAAGATTCTCACCACTGGGCCAATTGGCAGCATCAGTATGGATGGTGAAGAGATTGAGATGGTTAACAGTTTTAGTTTACTTGGTTCCACATTCAACACTCATAGTAACAGCAGCCAGAAAATCAAGAGATGAATTGCATTGGGAAAGTCAGCTGTGAGGGAGCTCTCAAGAGTACTGAAGAGCCATGATGTCAGGCTGGAGAATAAGGTACGCCTGATCCAGGCTATAGTCTTCGCAATTACATGTTATGCATCAGAAAGTTGGATAGTGACTAGGGATGTTAGAGAATAGCCTTTGAGCTGTGATGCTGGAGAAGAGTATTGAATATACCATCGACTGCTAGGAGAATAAACAGCTTTGTCCGCAATGCTCCTTGGAGTCAAGGATTCTGAAGCTTTGTCTGACATACTTTGGGCATGTTGCAAGAAGGGACTGGTCCTTGGAGAGGGACATCATGTTTGGGAGAGTGGAGGAGAGGAAGACCCTCGATGAGATGGATCGATTCTATGACTGGAGGTGTGGGAATGAGTGTGTTTGAGACGGCTAGCTTGGTACAGGATAGAACAGCCTTTAGAGCTCTTGTACATAGGGTCACTATCAGTGGCAAGCAACTCGATGGCATAACAATATAACAACAGCAACAACAGCAATAAGTAGTATAGAGTTTCTCCTTCTAAATCTGTCTCTGGACATCTATAGAAGGCTTTTCATAATAAAACTAATAATAAAAGAGCTTGACACCTTATCTTTGTTACCAGGAACAGATTCCATGTTCTGTGGCATGATCCTTTGTCTTTGTTTTTCTACCAAAACCTACCTAGTTTTTTTTTTATTCTTTCCCTAAAATGTGCAAGGAATTGGAGTCAGAAATTCAAAAGGGCTCAAGGAACTGAAGAACAAATTCAAACCTCGAGTTGCTATAATCAAGGATGCTTTCAGCAGAATGTTAAATGATTCAGGAAGTATTAAAAGAAGATGGCAAGAATATACTGAGTCACTGTATTGAAAGGAATTGGAAGACACAGAAGAATTTCATGAAACAACATATGAGCAAGAGCCTATGGT